TTTTAAGTAGTTCATTAAGACAGAGCAATGGATGTGAAATTAGCACTCTTCAGTGGAGTATGAGAATTTTAATTTTGTATGTTGTGGAGAAGAGAATATTAGCTAAAGCTTTTTGTGTTCTCTTCAGTGGGTGACACCCTTGCTTGTTATTTGTCTTGACTTTAACCATGCTACTGCTGTGTTCCTATCGTGGGGAAAAATAAGAATATCTGTGCCTTTTTGTGGGGGAGTAAGACAGTTTTTAATTGGTATTACATTTAATTTTGAACAAAAAAAAGGCAAAAGAAGAAATTAAAAGAAAATAACATTTGTAGTCTTTGGCATTTAAGTGTTAGTTCTGAAGGACTGGATCTGCCTCTCTTGAAAATGTGGAAGTATGTGTTTGGGCAACAGCACTTCCAGTTCTGAGATGTTTTACTTGAATGGGAAATAAACTGTTCCTAATTCTAAACTTGAACATAGTATTTGAACTTAGTTTTAAATTACCATTATTTGGCTTGTTTGCTTTGTTTCTGTACTGGTTTTAAGATAAACAACTATTACTTGGAGTAAAAATACTGCAGTCTTGCAGACACAGAAAATCTTATCATGATTAATGTTAGAGGAACGTGTTTAGCTGCCTAATTGTGTGGTTTTTTAGTTCAGGTTCCATTTAGCTCAAGCATTTACTAACCTTAAACTCAGCACTATCTTTGCTTTTCAGCTATAGTACAGAGCGGGAACTGCTTTGTTTCCTATTTTTTGGAATTTTTTAGGCCTGAATTCTGTGCTAGATTAATCAATTTCTGTTATGAATTGATCCAGACTAAAGAAAAAGCACTGTTTTCTGATAATGTTAAAAAAAAAAATCCTGTCCTCAGCTGAATAAGAAGTGGATGTTGTCTCATCCTGTTACATGAGGACTTTTCTTTACTCCCTCGATAGAGAAGGTAGAGAACCAAGGGCTTTATGGCTTTTTGGTGTGGGGTTTTTTTGTTTCTTCCAACATCACTTGATGCTTTCTGATCCTTAGATCAACTTAATGACAGCAGTCACTGTAGTAGTTTACGGGACAGTGATTCAGTGAACTGTTGTAAATATTTCTCATTTTAAAATTCAGTACAAAAATGAAAAATAGAAAGGAAATAGGTCTGGAGACTGTTTTTAAATTGTGTGTATCTTAAGCACTTTTATAAAGTGTTTGTTCAGGTGTTGAGTGTAAACGTGAAGGGATATATTAATTGTTAAAACGTGTGAAGATAAATTCACTGAAGACATTACAAGTTTGTCAATATTACAAATACTGTTTCTAGACATATTTTTCTTTCCATGAACAAAGACGCTGTTTGCCTTTCTCAAGGCAAACAAGTTGGGATCAAATATGATTGACTATGGACTTATAAAGAGTTTTTTTAGACCTTCTTATTTCTGCTAGCATTAGTAATGATTTAATTTAGAAACAGAAGGCTTTCTGAGGTAAGAGAATTAATAAAGGGTTGAAAGATCAAATCTGACAGTTAAATACATATTCTCCTTAGCAGCCTGGTTATTTAGTAACTTAATATTCTGTGGTAATTTGTGTGAAAGGGACTAAATGTATGCTTTTAGCATTTGCATAAAAATAAGTGAAGAATCTTATCCTGTTAATATTCACACTTGGACAACATGAAAAATGAGTCTGTAATCTTTGTTTTTTGTTTTTTTTTCCTACCGGCTTGCTAGACTTCAAGTTTATAGGCAGATAACTGTGCACAGTATTGGAGGGAAGACTACTTAGGGTGGGATTCTGGGTTTATACCTTTTATATTACTTTGTTATTTAAAAGAAAATTACCCAAGCTTTTAAGTAGAAATAGAGAGTGTTTCTAATAATTTTCTCAGTGTAGTGTAAAAACAGAAAAGGTAGATTATTTTTTATTTTCTGTTAGTTTTGGTACTTGAGAAGAAAGGAATAATATAGAAGTGATTGATTTCTTCAAATAATAATGGATGTTTGAGATGAATGACAATTGCAAGTTTCAAGCTAAGCCGGACAGCACTGTGTGTGAGAGTTTGTAGTGAGAGTTTTCCCAATTAACAAGAGCAATGGTGGGATGGATAACTTGGATTAAGCAAAATTCAATGTTTTTTCCTTTGCTTTATATGCTCCCCAACACTGTGCTTTAGCAGTTGTGTTTTTTCACTGAAATAGGTTAGTCTACAACTTGCGTGCCACACACTCCCCACCCACATGCATTCAGGAGTTGAGCATACCATTACTACCATCTTCTGCTGCTCCTCAAGTCGACTAAAAAAATCTACAAGGTAGTGCTTTAAATCGATGTTGAGACTTTTGCATGGCATTACTTGTATGGCAGGTCTTACTATACTGCCACAATAAATATTATGTCTGCAAAATAGATTTACATCTGCAAATAATTTTCGGATCTAAATGCACCCTTAGTCTGCTATGAGGCTGAACAACTGAAGCATGTTGGCATTGCTGGAAGAGCAGATTGTTGAAGTTGATATTGATAAACAACAAAAAAAAGTCAAGTTTTATTTGAAATACAGAACAGAAATGAGTGATAAGAAAAAAATAGAATGGTGTACATTCAGCTTGACATTAATACTGGTCACACAAATAGAGGCAAAATTCCTGCATGCTGAAGCCCTTCTCACTTAATGTTTTGATGAGTTAACTTGCTATGAATGAGGAAAGTAAATTAAAACATATCAGATAATTTATTGCCTGCATGAGGCATTCAGAATGGACTAGGTGTTTACTTTGGTTTGCTCACAAAACATTGAAAGCATTAATTAGTGTTACTGTTGATATTTAGTGCTTTTTCAAAAATATAGACAACATTTTAATGTAAAATTAATAATGTGATAGTGGTCAGGTCTTAAAATGTTTGTGTGTATGTATTACATAAATGTGCATATATTTGTGTATACATATATAATTGTTTTCAAATGTAGAGTTTTGGTGATAATATTTACTGATCCTATTAATACCGGAAAGAGCTTTATTTAGTAAGAATGGTTTCTGATGAGAATAAGGTCAGAGGCTACTGCTTATGTAATGTTATTGCACTTAGACTTCTAGCTGTGTTTTCTCCATCTTAGGCATTTATCAAAAGAGGGATGGCTTTTATTTTTTCCTAGTATAAATTTGGCTTGAAGTAGGAATGTATTTTTACATGCTTTGGGGTTATTTTTTACCTTCTGCTAGAAACCTGGAAACATCAAAGCTTTGTGACTTAGGTAGGAAAATTAAAAGCAAGTATTATTTTCACTGTCAGGCTTGGTTCTGTTCTCAGTTGTATTAAGGCAGTGGAATCTCTTTCCTGTTAAGTAAGTTTAAATGGAAAATATTGGAGATTGCTGTATCTTTCTTGGACAATGGGTTCAGGGTGAAAATATTTTTGTCCTGAATTTCATAATTGCATCTTCTTTCCAGAAAGATGAGCCCACAGCTGATGCTTGCTGTAGTTATTTAACAAGTGACTGAAAGTCACTAAGGTCTCAATGCTCTTAGTGGCAGAGCATCGGTATGTTCAGAATTAAGTATGCACTTGATTCCCCATAGTACAAGCACTAACAAATCAAGGCCTAGCTAAATAAGATAAACAAAACTAATACAAATACTTTGTAAAATCAATATTCTAGATGTAGAGATACATCATCATGCATTTGATGCTTAACTATTTCTACAAATTAGGAATCAATACTAGCCTTAAAATTATGGAGTTGATCTGGTAATAGTAACTAGCACATTTTTTGGCATTCATTTATCTGAAGAGTTTACACCTCTGGTAGGTATTTGAGGGGAGAAACTGAAAATGAATATCAAAATGAATGTCAAAAAATGCATAGTTGTGTAATTAAAAACGTTGTGTCATGTATCAATTATGTCTAGTTTTATGTAAACTGTCTGTCGAGGCCTGCGCACATTGATCTGTGTGTTTGATACGCTGCATGGTTGAGTGAAATGATACTTGAAGTGAACACTATTTTTGGATTAATGATAGAATCAACTTCTTAATTTAAGGATCTCATGTGATTTTTTTCCCTAATGGGTGAAAGTATTGTTGTTCAAGGGAAGTTCTTTTTCTTTGCACAGATGTCTAGCTGAAACCTTACTTATTTACAGGTAAAAATATTAATTTAGCTTTGCTATTAATTCTGTTGTCATATTTATTTTCTTGTCAAGAAAAAGCAGCAGAACAACCCTCGGTCTACATCATCAGCTAATGACAAAGATACTTAGAGTCATGCTATGCTGTACTCTGACCATTGTATTAAAATGGGAAGCTGGTGTTGCAAAAATGACTCTTGTAAGTACAGCTGAGCAAAATGTGTATATTTCAATTAAAAAGACGTTGTGTAAAAATAAAATACATGTATAATATATATATACACACACACTCCTAGGTTATTTTGAAAGCAAAAGAGAAGGAGATTGAATAAATATTTGAAAAATTCCACTTGCTGTGTTGCTTGGAACACTAAGCCTAAACAGGAATTATTCTCATTTTCCACAAACCAAGTTTTTAAGAAAGCTGTAATGAAGTTAAGCTTTGAGAAGTTCTATTTCTAAACATAACTTTGTTTTGCATGCAACTTTATCCCGTACGCTTTTTAAGCTCAACTGAAAAAGTTTCAATTCAGATTAAAAAGTGAGATTGAAATTAAGATGTGTTTTTCCTCTGTAGCTTGCTCAAACAATGTTTTGCATTTATCTGAAATTAATAGGTAGTAATTGTTCTGGGTATTGGTAAAGAATGTGAACGAGCAGTTACTTGTGTGATTTTTACCTATGTGTAAAGAATATGTGGTGAAATAAAAGTTGAGAAGATATGTGTGTGCATATAGGTATTTTTACACTTTAATTAACGGAAAAGAATCTGAAAGTATGAGTGACATTGTAACTACTGAGTAAAGTGGCTGTTCTGGAATAGTTATTTTAGAGGAAATCCTTATTTCAACATAATAAAAGGTTCTGGTTATGCAGGGAAAACAGCATTAGTAAGGGAGAGGATATAAACATATAAACAGAGGAAAAAGAATGATCTTTTGTTACCATGTTTAAGTTTTGGCATGTGTAACTACGTAAGTAGTGGCTAGTAGTATGTTCCTACGGGCAGTGTTCTCAAGCAGGAAAAAGCATTGACATGCTTTGCCAAGAGGATCGGATTCCCTTCCATCCTTATCTCATCCATATGTGTGCGGATGTAACGTGTGTTATTAGATTTGCAGAATGTGTCGTCGGTGATTGTAGTGATATTGTTGTACTGCAAAACAAAACAATTTTTGATAAATAATTAAACAGACACACATATGCACACATCCATATATGTTGAAGAATTTTCAAACTTTAACTTTATTCCTCTTGCCCCCCCATTTTGTTGTCATTGGGATTCATTTGTTTATACTATAGATACGTAGGAATCAAGTATCTTCAAACCAATCAACGAGCTGATAAGCAATTTGAGGTGGTTGTTGTTTGAAATGTATTGTTGATAAGAGATTATTGCTTATTTTTACAATTTCGTATCCTTGATATACAGAAACTAGTGAGAATTTCTTGCACAGTAATTAGCTAACAAACAACCTCTGAACACCGAATGGTTGTGGCCATGCAGATTAGAGGTAAATTGTTTTCTTTGGCGGAGCATTGGACACCTGTTACACAACCGCAGTGTGAGCTGTTTTAAAAAACGGTGGGTTTGGTTTCAAGTATGTAACTAATGAGGATCTTTGTAATATAATGTTAAGGAAATACTTAAAAAATACCTGAAGGTGAAGAATACGCAGACTTTCCGGTAAGTTAAGGGGAACAGATTCCAGTGCGTTATGTCCTAAGTAGAGATAGGCCAAATTTGTCAGCTTCTGATAGAGAGAAAGAGAGATTGTTAATGCTGATATTACTTACTCAAAGTTAATTAACGTATGCCAGTTACAATACATCAGTATTTTTTTCTGATCATGTAGAAAGAGTGCAAAGTGATCTAACACGAAACATTCTTTTGCTGTGGATGTTTAATTCTATTGTATCAAGAAAATCATAGAGCAGGCCTTCTGTGTTTTGGATATGTCAGCATCAGCTTATTGGTTATAAAACTTGACACCACTATAAAGCTATGTATTTGAGCCATCAGTTTTTCTTTGATGTGAGGGATAAAGGAAGTAGTAAGATATTTCATACAACTCTTTTTTTTTATATGAATGATGTGAGAGAGTGAGCGTGCAAAGGACTGTTGTTCCAAAGGGCCTTGAAAACAAAACCTGGAAAGCTTCCTCATATTTGTCTTAGATTACAAAAATACAGAAAAATTAATTTGGTGGTATACTGGATAGTCGGGTTGCTAATTTTTTTTACTTTGGTTACTTAAATTATTGTCTTTTACTTACCTTGAAAGCATTTGCTTTGATTCCTCTGCTCTTGATTCTATTTTGATTTGCATTAAATGTTGTTAGTTTGGGAGGTAGAACAGGGAGTTTTAGAAGTCGATTTTCAGCAAGAGAAAGTTCTTCCAATAACAAAAGCTTTGAAAAGGCTCCATCTTCTATTTCTTCTATCCTATTTCCACTAAAATCAATTCTTCTCAAGGTAGCTTTACACAAAAGAAATGAAAATCTGAATATTGAATGTATAATTACATGGCATGTGAAATGTGTATGGTTGTATGTGTTAAATGTGACACTGTTGGATGCGCCATCCTAATTGTGATCTACAAATTTGGATTGCCTCATGATCTTAGAGTTTTAAAAAGCATAAGGAAAATACTCTGGATCTTTCCTTTTTTTTTTTTTTTTTTTTTTCTTAGAGACAATGTGGTTTCAGATATTCATGGAATTTGTCATGTTGTAGAGTGAGACAGCTGGGAGAGATGTCCCTGGAGCACTTGAAGGAAAAATAATACCCTGTCATTTAAGACTGCACTGGAAGCAGTGTTAAATTTTATTTTTAGTGAACTGCTGTTTCTCTGATTGTGTGGGAATATTAAGATGGATACAAGAGCAAAAATGAGTGTTCATATTGCCTTCATAGTTCTGTTCTAATACAAGCATTGAATTAAATAAGTAATAAGCGTACTGAAATCTAGCTACATATGAAATATATCTTATTTTGGTGATCTTGGCATACTGTTAAGGAACAGCAACTTCAAATAAACTGTCAGGTAAACAGAAATTAAAATTTGAACATTACTTACTAATGTCAGCAAAATCTGAGACTGCTATCCTTTTTATTTTATTAAATCGTGCATAAAGATATGCTGTTTCCTTTGGCAGTGGGGGTACAGCTTCGATGTCTATTTCCTCGCAGTACACTGATCCACTTAAACACACACAGAGCAGACAAGTAGGTAAATCTGAAAGCAAATTATTTTGAGTAGACAGTTAAGTTATTGAACTACCTTAAGCTTAATTATTAAAAATAAAATTTTCTCTAGTGTCTTTTAAGATTTCCCATTATTAGCTTTTTAAAAAAAATTCTACTGACATCAAGTTCTGAAAAGATTTAATGTTCTGAACTTTTTTGAGTTTTGATTTTTTTATTGTGCATAATTTCCCTCTGTATATTCTCTCTCTGTTCTTATCTGAGCATGTCTTGAAATGCTATTAAATCCATCTTAGTTCAGTATTGTGGATATGACAACTGCAACTCTGTGGCAATGTTAAATGTCATCTTTAGAACCATTCTTTTGAAAAGAGAAATCCATGCAGGAGAAACATCTGGCAGGGCACCCACTGCGTTGGAGAATTTCTGGCAGGGTCATGTATACTCTGTGTTACTCCTAGCTATTATTTTGTCTAATCCTTTTTATAAAAACTCCAGCAGTGATGCTTATAGAAGTACTTTAGGCAATCTGTTGCAGTTTTTGAGTGAGGTTTTTTTTGTAGCTGTTATTTTAGGTAGTGAGAGAAACCGTTTTTTTTTTAAATGGTTTAAGCCCATTATGGCTTGTCCCTTTCCTCGTAGACATTAGTAGGGTATTAGTAATTTCTGCTTTGCATTAATCTTGTATGACAGCAATATTAAAATACATATAACAAATGCAGCTTTCAGTCTGGTTTCATCACCGCTGCTATGTGGTCAACTGTGTTTTCTATATTGTAAGGTTTTTGGTTAGCTTCCAAGTTGGTCTGCCTGTAGTAGAGAGTAGCGTCATACTGCTAGGTAGTTCGTTATCACTACATGGTAAAATAGGATCTTCTGCAACCAGTGAAGAGTTACAGAAGTAGCCCCTCAGTACTGGGAAGCCAGTCTAGTATGTACAATGGAGTAATTATTTTTTTCTTACAGAGCGACTGCATAGAATGGAATTGAGGTTTTGAGCTTTAGCGTTGTGAATATTGCTATTTGTTAGGCTTTAGAGTTCTGCCCCACTTGCCTTTTTTTGATTTAGTGTCTTGTTTGTCATATGCTAGAGTGTAGGAAATGGAAAATTATTGTGAAACAGAGTCACCATTTAAAAGGCAACAGTTTTTATGCTTGTCTGACTAGGAGTTCTGCTGTTCTTACACATTTGTTCCACATTTGATGGTTGCTTGTTGACAGATGCTATTTGGCAATAACTAACCTTGATTCAAAATTTGGTGGAGATTGACACTGCAGTGGTCTTGCTGAATCATCAGTTATTTTTGGAAGTTTAGATCATGGATACACCTGAAATGTGTGTCTTTTTTTCAATCCTCTGTGTGGCAGACAAAAATTTTTTTCCAGTGTAGAAATCCTTGTGGCTCTATAGGAGAAATCTGGACAATATACCAATAAATGCTGGACCCTGTAGGCTAGGGAAGAATGTTCCTGTTGTATTTTAACCATTGACCTCCCTGATCATCAGATGTAAACTGTGAGAATAGCCAGTTCGTTGAAGAAATCTTTTTAAACATAGCATGCTTCATTATTACTTAGTTAAATTGTGGAACTTTTGGGATGTGTATTTTATTTTTCTTGGTTGTCTTGCCTAACTTATTTAACTTGGGTACATCTCTACAGCAAATATGACTGGGTAAGTCTTTGTGCAGTTGGAGTTTACCTGAGGATCCTTTAAATTTTTTCAGCCTGCTCCATCATCAGTTAGAAGACTTTCCACTGGAGATATGAAAGATATTCATAAATGAAAATACTAATTCTGTATCCCTTGTCATCCTTCATATATTAAATTTTCATGTTAAAATATGTTCTTTTGGACAGTTTAAGTGTTACACTATTCATATCAATTAACTTACTTGTATCCTTTGTTGGTTGTACATTGCTATCGCTGTCATCCGCTTGCAGTCTTAGGGAAGTGTCAAGAGAAACATTTATTCCATCCTTTGTGTGAGAGCAAATGTTATTTTAAAAAGCAAACAGCAAACAAAAAACCACAGAGTATACAAGGATCTGAAACAGCACATCTTTTAAAAGATAAGCTTACTATGACATACTTCCTTATGACATTTAACCTTTAAAACCACATTAGTCATCAAGCCTATAAGAGTATATATTATCCCTTTTAGACTTGAGCTATTCACTTTGAAAGGTAAGAAGGGAAGGTGGTGCTGCTGGTGTTCTTTAGAAAAGTAAAGTTCTTTAGGAAAGAATAGTAAACAGACTACGTGGTGGGGAAGAAATATGTAAGCGATGGGTGTCTACAAAAACCTGGAGTTCTGAAGGTAGATAGGATTCTTATGAATGTAAGTTGGGTTTTGTTGTTTGTTTTGTTTTACCCAAAAAATATCAGTAAAATAACACTTCCTTCTGTTTAAAGTTATTCAGAATTCCCTGTTGAGATGGTAATTGAATATCTTTAATTGCAGGACAACTTAGTTCATAAGCATGTTCCTTTCAGGTATTGGCTGAAATTTAGCAATTAATTTCCATTACCTGCACTTAAGTCTAAGTCCTGGGCTGCTAACAGGATGCAGGAGGTGGTCATAAGCATGTTCCTTTCAGGTATTGGCTGAAATTTAGCAATTAATTTCCATTACCTGCACTTAAGTGTGTTTTAAGTCCTGGGCTGCTAACAGGATGTAGGAGGTGGTACTCAGGTTTTCATTGAATACCGTAGGAATTTTAGAGAATTGCATGCTGTATCTAGGATTATAGTACACACAGAGTGGGTTATACTATGATTTGCAAGTATTAAAGTTAAGGGGATTTTTAGGTTGACTGTGGCAATTGTACTTTGCTAGCATCATTTGTTGTCTTTTTTGATGGGGAATAGTTGTAGGAAAAAGTAAGACAATATCCTTTTTGATTGAAAACACATGGAGGAAGTACAGTATCAGCTGCAGAGGATGTTTTTCTTTAAATGTGCTGAAGAATCAGGCTCTGGCAGCAGTACAGTACCCTGTTGAAGAGAGCTTCTTACGCACTTCGAGTGCTCACAAGTGAACTTTTTTTTTTTAATCCCCCTACCTCCTTCAGGCTTGTAGCACACAGCTAATCTACTAGAGTGGTGTGTAACACCAAGTAACACTATATGTCAAGTTGCTTTTGATACTAACTTTGTTTTATTTAGTATTTTGTTGCTTGCGTATGTTTTACTGTGGGAAGTTTTGTATTCTGCAAAATTAAACCTCAAGCTTGACATAAAGCCTGAGAAACAAATATTTTGGCCAGCCTCTGTCATTTTGACCCTTTTTTAGCCTGTGAATCATCCATCCTTGGCTCTTCCCTGCATCTGTCTATCCAGCCTATGGCTCTTTTTTGCCTGGTGTTTTTCTGTAAAGTTTAGGATAGATTGGTTTGTTCTAGTAAGGCTCTTATACCCAATTTAGAGTGCTGGCAACAGTTTAGCAGTTGTTGC